AAACGCTCAACCTCAGATCCGAACTCTTTGATCATCGCATCGATCAACGAAACAAACTGGAAAAGCCAAGATAGACGATCAGACACAAATTTAAAATAATAGTCTTTTTAAACGTGTACTCGTGAACCTGTACCTTGGCATGGTGTTGCGACATTGAACCCAAGCTTGGCGTCTTGCTCGACGAAGCTCCAGTCTCCGGAACCTTCGTGCCTCTCTTTCTCTTGGGAGCATCAGGGTTCGTGGAAGGTCTCTTACGACCTTTGGTTGGAGAAGCCAGCGTTGCGCTAAGCGCCGGAAGTCCCAGAAGAATCACCCTCTTGGCCGGAGGAGGAGGCTTTAAAGTCGTGACCGCCTCGACCACGGTAGGAGCCGCAACCGTTCTGACCTCGGTAGGAGCTTTAACCGTTCCTACCTCGGCAGGAACCGCTACATTTTCGACTAGAGCAAGGGGCGGAACAGCAGATGAACCCGACGGCGCCCGTCGAAGATTTCACTACGGTACCCGCCGTTTCGTCGAAAATAGCCTTGACCTCTTTCAAAAGAACGGACGGGTCCACCGGGGCTGCGCAAGTCGGCACCGTGTTTTCCTCAGCATCGCTGCGATCATTCTCCTCCTGAAACAAGAGGAACTCAGAAATACGAGCATCCTGCCAATGCGCCATAGGGTTATCACTAGCTCAGAGTTCATGGTCTTGTTGATCACCTTGGGAAGAAGACATATTGGCAATTTTTCTAGAGAGAAGTTGGAGAGAAATTTGAGAGATGGAAGATATGTGAAGTAATGATCCAACACTTATAGAAAAACACAAAACAAAAATAGATCTCGCCTCTCGTAATTAGAAAAATCGCAGCCGTGGATTCCGATTAAAACAACTTCAGTCGCCCGTAAAAACCTTCTCCAAAACTTGCGAGCTGGGGGGCTAACTATTGGTGTCGAAAACCGTAATCTCGAAATCAACGTCTACGATAATTTCTGTTAATAGTAAAATCATTACTTTCCGCGAAAAGAAAAATAAAATAATTTTTATAAAACTCGAGCAATCGTTTTATAAAACTCGAAAAGCCGTTTTATAAAATTCGAGAAATCGTTTTATAAAACTCTAATAAGGTTTCCGAACATGGGAAATCCGTGGAAAACTTGGAAATCGTTATCTTGAAGGAACGAAACTAACGCTGATTACACGATCGTCCGAGTTAAGCACAAAACCGCGAAAAACCGCATCCGCCGTAATCCGCGAGCTAAGTGGCCTCGAGCTAGCTCGCCATACAGCGCGATATCTCAACCAGAGCTAGCTCACCATACGGCGAGCTATCTTGACCAAGAATAGCTCGCCGTACAGCGAGCTAGGGGAGTCTCGTATAGCTCGCCGTACGGCGAGCTGAACCGGTCCGGTTTGGTTCATCGTACGTTGAGCTAATTATCCCGAGCCTCGATCTCCCACGTCCTCGATTTAGGGCCTTTGTCCTTTGGCACGACCATGCTCCGAACCACGGTCGAAATGCCTTTCGTTTTGTCTCGATCCGACCTATCGTTCGAGTTTTACGATAAAAACCGTAAAGTTTTGTTTTCTCGAAAGAACTCAAGGAAATCGTATGAAACGGCAACGGTTAAACGAAACACCGAACATTGCGTAAACTGTACGGTTTACTCGAGACTGTTCATGAGAAATCGTAAAAAACGCGTTTTTAACAAAACTTCGAGTAAATCGTAGAAAACGACAAC